CCCTACAATAGTGCCTAGAAGTAAACACAAATGCATGTGCACATTTTAAGAATCTCAATGTGCTTTATATTTCTTGTATCTAAATACTGTGCTCTCCTCTATGTTATTATTCAAATGTACACTGAATCTTAAAAATAACATGGTAAGAATAAGTAAACTCTGAAAATCCCTGTTATTTGATCTAGTCTCCTTGCAGATCTCAGGGAGAAACCATATGAATAAACTCTGGCCTCCACACTTCTTACACAGTCAGAACTTCAGGAGGCTTACGGCTCAAAAAGTGTAATAAAATTTTTACAATGCTATCCAAAATACCCCATCATTTCATACAATTTGTGCTATCATGCATACCAACTAAAATTATAGTTCCAGATAACAGTGCTATCACTCTGTCATTGCAATTTAAATATATTTTTTCAAAGGTAAGATACAACCTGCATCTTGATATAAATTAGAAATGGATGAGTATTAAGAGAACAGCAATTTCTCGGTACCCAAAGGCAGGAAGGACACTACCTTATTTATGTAGTTACATATCACCTGAATAATACCCACGATGTTTCTGTGCAGGTTATTGCAATGCAGAAACTTCTTTTTTTTTTTTCCTTAGAGATTTTTTCCTTTGTATTTGTTCTCCAAATCCTCAGAAATAGTAACATGTTTATAAAGGTGGGTGTTTGGTTTGCCTCTTAGTAATAATATGGTGCTTTTAAGACCAAATCAGAAACATTTGTCATGTATTAAACCATGAATGTGCCAAAATAACTGTTACATTAATATATTTGGCAGATAGCTTTTGTTTGATAGTACCCAAATTATTGGTTTGCTCTAATATCTCTTGTGTGAAAACTACGAATGTCAGAGTCTTAATAATCATTAACTGACGGGGAAGGAAACAAAGTATGGAGTATTTTTCCTGACCAATCTCATAGTCTTCTGATATTCTGTCAGGTATGTTGATTTTGAATGGTCAAATAAACAAGGAACATTAATTGAGTTCCACTGTTAGGTTAAAAATGCCAAAATAGAAACTTACAGGTATTAGTCCTATTTAGAACACAAACTCTTTTTGAGTTAGACAGAATTTTGCTGGCTAAAATATGCAGAAAGCATAAATCTAGTCAAATGCAGTCAGCGTGTCCAAGATGTATGTAAAACTTAAATCTTATTGCAGTTGAATACTGACGTTATACTCTACAGTAATAGCTTCTACTACCCATCCCAAAGTAACCCTTTGATTAGTGGTTTAAATTATTCAAAAGTAGCCTTTTTAATGGAGCCTAAGTGACGCATAGTCCTTGTGCTGGCTCTGTACACAGAAAGTGTTTCTTAAAGCTTCATGAATATTTGCAGCAAACAAATGTGAAATCTTCACACAAACGAGTATTCATCCTCAAAGTGCTGCACCCTCAATTAGCCAGAGAATAGCCACAATAGCAGGTGGCGTAAGTGACAACTCACAACACATCTTTAATTTTGACTGTCTGACGAATTCATTTCCCAAATGTTATTTAAGTAATGAACATGCTGGAGAAAATCTGAATCTGCACATGATTATTTTGTGAGGAGAAGCAGAGCCTGAGTCTGCTGGAGAAATTGTTGGGAATGAATAACAGAATCTTCCTGGAAATAAACTCATTAGAACAAAAAACTTCTATTTGGACTTTTTAGTTGACGTTCTGTGTATTTATTTAAATCAAGAATATTCAAGTTTATGAATCAAGTAAAATTAAAAACGCAAAAACTGTGTGTCATTTGAATATTACATTACATGTTATAAACATTGGTTGTGGCAATTGGTGTATCTTTCAGCAAAAAAATAGCAATACTAACGTAGAAGTTTCCTACTTACAGATCTTTGAAATATTAAGCTTGTAAAAAAACTAGCTGCTTTCTCAATTAAGCATTAACACCCCTCCAGGTTACACGAGAACTTGTACTGAAGTCAGGGATGTATATGGATTAATGAGTGCTCCCACCAACATGAAACAAAATATAGTCAAACATCTCAAAGATTAAAAAAGGGATGATGGAGAGATGGGTCAAAATGAAGCAAAAAAAAAAAGGCCACTCACAATAGTAAGTGTTCTAGTACATGTAAAATATTAGAATATTTTACAAAACTGAATAACCAATTATCAGCAAAAGAATAACTGAACTTCTAGACATTAACTTTTCAGAGTTATTTGTAGGTTCTTGGGGCTGGGTGTGAGATGATGAGAAACTTGGAATAATTAAGATTTTGCTAATTTGACATTTGAATTGTCTTCCTTTCCCCTATCAATATCAGATTTACTGGTGTGTTAGCACTGAAAAAGGTAATAACCTTTTGGTTTTCAGTGCTTTTTTCCCCCTCCTTTTTCCATTCTTATTGCAAAGAGTAGCATTTAGTTGTTGCATTCCACACCGAAGTGCATAGGATGTGAAAACATAAATTCTTAGAAACAAAAAGAGTGAGACCTGGGAAAACAGCTACTTTGAAAATACTAATAAGAAACAACTTCTCTATACAGGGCAATGTGGTTACGCATTTACGAAGCTCTCTTCTTGAAAACATTATAAAATGGATATGTATATGCAATTAGATGAATGAAGCAGGAGTACATTATGCATTTTATACTGTTTTCCTGCATTTAAGAAAGTACAAATGTCTTACGAAGCCTCCTTAAAATGATGAAATTAAAACTCGCTATAGAGCATGCATACCTTAAGAGTTATTCTTCATCCACTTCTGCTACAAATTGTGAATGGTGTTCTGGTGACTTGCTGTGTGTTTTGCTTAGATGAAGTTTTACTGCATGTTTGCTCGCAAATGTCCGACAGCACAACTTACATTTGAACTTAGAGTCTGTGTCCTCTTCTCCAGCTATTGTTTCAGGAGATCTTTGAACTGAAACTCTGGAGATTTCTTGCTCTACCTTGGTTTGCTGCTCCACAGCCAGCCTGTTCATGTCTTTCATTTGGAAACCTAGGTGAGATTCTAAGTGGCTAATGTAAGTAGATGGGGTTCGAAACTGAGATGCACAGTCGCTGCAATAAAAGACTGGATGTCCTTTGTCCATGTTTTTCAAAAACTTTGTTCCTCCAGTTTTCCTAAGTTGATACTTGACATTTGCCAACCAATGGCTGATGGTGGTCATCGACAGTCCAGTAAATTTGGAAATCTGCATGCGCTCTTGTGGGCCTAGGTCTGATAATAAATATTTACCTTCAGATGTCTGGAAAAGGCTGGAAGCGAACTGAGCTTGCAAAATGAGAAGATGCTGAGGATTCCAGTTTGACTGTCTGCCCTTCCTTTTATGCAGAGTGGAGACTTCTGTTGAGACATCCTCAAAGCGTCGGACATCTATTTCCAATTTCATAGATGGGATCCTTGAAGACGCCGCAGGTTTTGGTGTAGTAGCTTTGGGAAGAACTTTGACCATGTCAGCGATGTCAGACAGCGCATGTTTTTGAGGTGGAGAAGTACAAGATTGTGCTTGAGGTGACTCAGCTTTCTTGCCTTTGGATTTGGTCAGGTCAATAGGCTGATCATTGTTTTCAAACAAATAGTGCCTGGATACACTCGCAGGCTTTGGTGGCGTTGGAGCTGGAGATAAAACTGGCTTCTCCATCATATTTAGATTAGTTTTGTGGAACATAGAAATTGTGCTAGAGCTGGGGCTGCAGCTGGATTGAGCCTGTAAAGGCTCAGTGGCTTTGCCCAAGTGATTATTCAGCACTGACTGCAGCGCACTGAGAGGGTTGACACAAGGCAGGTCAGACGAATGGTTGGCAGCAGCACAACCGTTACTAAGAGAAGCTGCTGTTGTTTCCTTGAGGACTGTTTTGTCTTTTCCACTGTCCTCTTTAATTTTGTCTTCCTCTTTCAAGGGACATGGTTCTGTCTTTTTTGGCTCCACAGAGGCTTCAGATTTGAGGGGAGGTTCTCTCTCACCAGGGTTGAGTGAGGCAGGCTCAGCTTGGATACTCTCTTTAGCATAGTCCTTTTGTACCTCCTCCTTGTCATCAGTTTCCTTCTTCACTTGAGTGCACTGGGACACATTTGCTGAGATAGGGACCAGTGGCATGACCTTCCACTTTGGAGCTATGGGCCTCAGTTTATTGGTGATAGTTGGCCTGATTTGCAGTACTTGGGAACCCACAGGCAAAGATGGCTTAGCTCCTTCTGAGAGCTGATAAGCTGCATGGATGCTGGGATACGCACTCCAGCTAGGAGCTCCATTTTGAGCTTTATTGATGGCTGTTGTGACAGTGTTCTCCAAGGACTTTAAAATGTCCCCACCACCCTTTGAACCATCTTCTAAATCTTCTTCTCTGAGGTACTGGTATTTCATTGTGGGATCCAGTGGTTTCTGAAGAGTGTCTTCATACTCTTCAGATTTTACTGCTTTCTCATCTTTGTTTGCATCATCAGCTTTATCTTTTTTACTTTCTTTTTTTAGTTCGGAGGTGGGAGCTATGCATTCTGCAGATGATTTACTGGTTGATTTTGAAACCGGGCTGTCACTGGCGGGTGCTTCAGACAGTGATTGCATTTTTTCCACAGCTAAAGGATCCAGAACAAGTTGCTTTCCTTTCTTTGAAGCTGAACTTGTGACTTTCAAGAAATGGCCAGTGACCATCATGTGGGTTGTGAGCTGCTGCAAGGTATCATGGGAACTTCCACATTCCATACACTTCAAAATCTGGGATTTGCAGGCCTCAAACTGCCATGTGTAGCTGGCACCATTCTGGTAGCCATAGCGGTTGTTAGATGATAGCTGCAGGTTCGCATTCTTCTGAGGAGAAAAAGTATCTGAGAAAGACCCCGTTGTGGAATCGGGCGAACAAGGCCTGTTAACATCAAACACACGTTTCTTTGCTGGAGTGACCAGTTTTGAAGAAATGGTTGGTACCGGCTCCTTCAAAGGCACTTTTTGGTAATGTTTTGTTTTTATCATATGAACACTCAGATCTTGAAGGGAATCGAAAGAGTCACCACAGAACATGCATTTCAGAACTTTTTGTGCATCTTCCTTGTCCATATCCTGGAAAGCCCTTTTTCGGGGCTTTGAATAGCTGGTAGGTCTGTGCTTGTCCTTTTTATGGTTGTCATCTTGGTAATGACCTGTCTCATTCATATGAACTGTTAGTTCTACCAGCGTGTCGTAGGCAGCACTGCACTGCCGGCACCGAAACCGGCTGGCGCCCGTGAACACAGTTCCACACATTTTGCTGCTCTGCCTGTAGAGCTGGACTGAGCTGAACAGGTTGGGTTTCGAGACAGGTCTGGAAGGTAAATTCTGCTGTAAGCTTTTGGACAGTGCGTCTTGGTGCCAATCAAAATCAGCTTTGTTCCCTCCGTTTCTGTTGTCACAACTCCTCTTTTCAGAGTTAGACAATTTGAAACCCAGCCCTAAGCCGGTCCAATAAGAGTCCGACAGTATGTTGGCATAGACCGCTGTCATTTTATCCATGCAATCGTGTGCTTCATTCTGGGCTTTGGGATGGGTGCTGGTTTTTGGGTCCTGTGGCTCTCTAGAGCAAATGCTTTTAATATCTGCCAGGTGGTCACTACCATCACTTAGTAGTGACTCGTTTTCAGCATCCTGGTTAGATATATGACTGACAGGGGAATTCTGGTAACTGAAGTTCCCTTTCTGCTCAGGACCCACTTCATGTTCCTCATCCGTGCCAGTATCATTGCTGCCCTGGAGCTGAGCAGTTGAATTGTTGTCGTCATCATCTTCTTCCTCCTCCTTTATATCTTCCTCTTCCTTTAAATCTTCCTCTTGGACATAACCTGAAATGTAATGTCAATATATGAAATAACTTGTTAAAGGAGAATACTACAGTCCAAGCTTTCTAGTTTCACTACGTGTTTTCTTTACTGGACTTCCTTTTAATCTACAACTTTATTGACTGTTAGTTCTGGAAGTGAAAAAAACCAAATGGTGTCTCTTTTTGTGAAGGTTGCTGCATCTTGCTGGCAGATGATCATAATTCTTTATAACTGCCAGAGATTCTGAGTTAATAATTTTCCTGTCATGGGAGTATAATTCTAACTGTCCCATAATGGGACAGTTGAAAATTCATGTGTAAGTATTTAAAGTTTATATTAAAAGCTTCAATTCTATCAAATTGGTTTTGGCCTCAGCGAAAGAAAGGGTAGAACTGGCAAGGAAGAGAAGAAAAATAACTGCCATAATCTTCTTGGTTCATAGCATCATCTAGGTACAGTAACCTTGTGCCATTTGATCACCTAAAACTGCACTTTAGAATGTACACAAATAATTTATATGTCAAAATACAACATCTGAAAGTGCTAATAGGCATAAGTGGAACTCTTTTGTTTATAGATGTACTGTCTACGATAAAAGCAAATTGTGCTTCAGTAAAAACATATCCATAAATTTCAGGGCAAGAACCCTTGGATGTTACTGAAGCGTATTAGGATGTGACAGAGGTAGGCCAAAATTAACTGTAAAACTGAAAAAGTTGAACAAATCCAGAAAGATTTTCTTTGATAAATTAGATTATTTGGTTAATAAGATGAACTTAATACTGGAAGAGCTGTAAATTTTAAAATTCATTTAGGAATTCAAGCTGCTGAGTTTGTTTTGTTTTCTGGCCTTGTATCAGCAGTAGTTCTGCCTAAGTTACAGAGATAACCTGGTTAAAACAGAGGATTTTTAAGGGTGAACTGGCTCTGTTGCAGTTAGTGGATAAATTCCTAATGACTCAACACAGTCAGCAATTCACTGCCAGACCCCACAAAAAGAGATGAAGCAGAACGAGTGGTTCAGGTATGTTTCCACAAAACCCCAGTGTAATTTTTTTAACAGCTACTGCAAAGCTGATATGCACAATGCAAGCAAACATTGAAACAATTCACTGCTATTGACAGCCACTCATCAAAACTAAATGTTGATTTCAGAAGCACAGGTTTTTGTAGGAGACGCATTGACGAGGTCTTCCAGTGAGGTGCAAACACAATGCTGCTAACCCTAGTGACTGCACTGCAGTCTCAGGAGTACTTTGCTGTGTTTCCTTAAGATCTAGGTTTTTTGTATCAGACAAATATACCAAAGCCCTCAAATCAAAGCCACCCTTAAAATAACTAAGCAAAAATAAAATTCTAGTACTCGTAATTGTGAAGTAACACTGAAAGCTCCAAAAGCACAAGTTAAATGAGCCTAAAAGCGTTATTTGTTTAAAATCCAGTTTCTTCCCATCTTCTGAGAAAAGTTATTTTATGGTTCTTTGAGAATCTGGCTCATTTCACTCCCTTGAATCTGATACTCCAGCACAAATGATATCCTTTCAGCAAATTAAAGGGATGGACAGAAAAGGCAGAAGCATTTTGATTAACATATGGACAAAGCCTTCCACAAGTTTTTCAGGTGTGTTTTAATTTTTCAGTCTTTTTGCATGTGTATCTCAGCCCTTCCAACACACGTTTACCATTAAGCCAAAGAGATGAACTAGAACTAGAGGATTTGTTCCTTGGATGAAGCTGCAATATAAGAACGGGGAAATGATGGCGCTCTCTGTGGATGGGCTAAGAAACCCACGAGTCATCTTCCCTATGCCCTTCCCATGGTCTTAAGACCTGCACAAATCACACCAGCTTAGAGCTGGGCTTGGCTTACTCCAGGGATGATACCAGGCAACTTCACAACCTGAGGCAGCAGCTATGAGCAAATGACCTGGACAGCATTTTACCATGATGAAATAATCACATAGCAGCAGGAACGCTGTGCTCTTCAGCAGATGCTTCCAGCAAAGTAGCAAAATAGTATTAAAGTGTTAAATACTAAAAAATAAGCCTTTTAGTAGTGCGTTGGGGTACAGCAAATACTAGTACCCTGTTTACAGGTGACCAGACTGAGGCAAGCAGCAAAGATAACACAGAACAAAAGATTTTTTTCTCCTCCCTAGACTTTTTCCCTAATAACCAGATGATACTTTCCATCTACCCCTTTCTGAGCTCGTATGTTTTTCAGGGACCAAGGAGAACAGAGGGACATGGAGGCGGCAAAAGCTCCTACACGTCATGAGTAGTAACCTTGTTAAACAAGCAGCATGAACTGATGAGCAGGCCTGACATGGTTCTCACGATGTTAGAGACACTGCACAGCGTAGGTAGCGATGCTGGCCCCTTGCCAGGATGTATCACAGTGCCAGGCATATTACACCCAGCAAAACAAAAATAAGGAGGGAATCCAATGAAGGAATCAGACAAAACAGACAACAAACAGCATTCACATGGGTTTGGGTCGGTGCAAATTTGATTCTCCATTTCAGCACCAATTCTTCGAATATTATTAACCCATTTTTCACCAGAAGGTATTTTGTTTTTCCTTTGGAAGATAGATACAGCGGTTTCTTCCTCACAGTACCCTTTGTCCTTCTAAAAGGATTTACCAGGAGAAGCAGAAGTACCAGACAGCTGCACATCCCCCACAATACAGATAAAATTTTCTGCTTAATTAGGCATTGACATGTTTACTATAACCTTTACGGAAGAGTAACTCATGCTGAGAAATCCTCTTTTTTGTGTCTGTATAAGGCACAGACACAATCTTATGAAAGTGGTAAAAGTAACTTACTAGAAAGCACTATCAAGATTTTCGCAAAAACATCAGTCAGGTCCATTTTAACGGCTGAGGGTTCTGGGCAGCTTTGGAAACACATTTCAGTATCCTACTTGTAAAACCATTTCTGTTTATGTAAATGATTTAAATTGCTGTGGGCATTTTAAGGACAGTGGAGACCTCTTCTGTGCAGACAACCTAGGGTACAAGGAATGCACGTGTCCTTCCAGCAGTGGGTTTTAGTAAGATTTCACTGGACATGAAGCTTGATGTGAACTGATGTAGCTACTTAACAGAAAAAAACATTAATTTAAGTGGACTTTGCATTATTTATTTTCTAAGTAAAAGGTGTCTTAAGCCTGTACACCCACATGCTTTAAATGCAGTGTCCATAATATGTAGCATGAATTTTGTACGTCATACTGATGTCCATATAATAAATTGTTGAATGACCTGTTCTCTTCCCACCAGTTGTCCCCCAGGCTTATTCTGACATTCCAAACCTCTGAGTGCTCATATACAGCTGTCTTACAGGAGAAAAAATAGAATTAAATAAATCCAAACTAAGTAACCAAATGAATGCTTCCTCCTTCACCTAGATGAGAATTATTCCCACCGAAATGAAACAGGCACAGCCAGAGATGTAAGATGGGCAATGTGCAGGCCTGAAGAAGTGGGGGGACTAAAATTTCTCTGTCATCTTAAGGACTGGACAAAACCCAGGAGCTTCTGAGCACTGAACGGAAGCAAGTTCTGGCTTCCTAAATAGAAATCTGGGTTTAGTGCTGATTGAGCCCAAGATGTCAAAATCACGACATCAGGAAGGATAATATTGTCATATGGATAATAGTCATAAATACAATTCTAAAAGCTTTTTAAAGTTTTCCTCTGTGCCTTTGTGATTGGATTCATGGTAACTTCAGAAACCTGCTTCTGTAGGACAAGGGTTGCAATGAACAGCTGACTGTTCTTCAAAAGATAACATTTGCTTAGGTATTTATAGCATATTTCTGCAGAGTAACTAGAAGAAAGCAGGCCCAGCTAATACAGCTGAAAAAACTCTTCTTTGAATGTGTGAGTCTAACACCATCCACATGCATATTGAAGCCTTGACCCTGCCATGCAGAAGGTGCTGAGCCAAGCTCCAGGTGATGCTGAACCCAGCATTGACTTCCAGGCCCTCACACCCCTGCCTAACCTGTAATTTGCACCACGTTGTACATCACTTTTGACCTTGAATTGTAGAGTGTGAACACATCTTTTTTTTAGTGTTCATTCTGACTGTGAACTTTTCCACCAGTGGATGCTATTTTCACTCAAATTTGATCTTTTTCCACATAGAGAAACATTTCTTAAAATATATACATACATGTTTCTTTCCAAGACTGGAAAATTTATTTCCTGCCAAGAAAAGGGACAGTGAATCATTGTCCAGAACAACACTGCTAATCCGTGTAAAACCCATGCACCATCTGCACTTCTTCATATATATATTCCAGTTTTACTTGAAATAACATCATTAGTAAAACAATCTCACAGTGCTATAAGGTGATCTTGTTTCCTTCTTGTCTGGCTTCAGCTCAAACATCTTTTTGTCTTTGGCAGAAACTGTTTCTTTCTCTGAAATATTTCATGCAGATAATGGATAATGACCACTTCTCATTCCTGTTTCTCAAAAATGTCTAACTACATTAGCTACCCAAAGACAAATCTTAACCTGGCTCTTTGTAGGAGTTCATGGCTATAGATTCATCCCAGTTTGAAAATGAACTTGAGAAATAAATTGGCAGCTGTGGAAAAAAAAAATCCCTGCTCTGTTGCATAACTCTTATATCAAAGACATGTTAGAATTTAACAGGATTAAAATGAATGGAACACTCTGGAAATGCAATGGCTTTTATGGAAAGAACTATTAAATTACAAAATTTGTAATACAAGAGTGAATAATATGTATTTCAGAACTTTTTAAGCTATGTTCAAAAATTCTGTACCAGGGAAATAACTTCCTGTTAAGTTCTGCAGGATGGAAAGGAAATACAGGGAAAGGCCCCATTCTTACCATGGAGAGAGCAGAGAGCAGCTCATTCTGCATCACGGGTTTCAGAGACAGAAAAGCACCTCTGTTAGCTGGTCTAAACATCCTGGCAGTGTGCATATTCCTAAACCCACATGCATCCTGATAAAGGTTCTAGATGTTCTCCAAAGTTCAG